TAAAGATTAAATGAGATAATACATGTAAATCTCCAAACAAAAGGAAATGCCTAATAAATATTAGCTATTATTATGTACAAAATATATGTAAGAATTAATGAGTACTGCAGGTAATTAATTCCATGCTTTACTGTCTTTTTGGCATATTTTCACTCCCTACTTCTTTCTAGCACTCCTGGGAACAGAGTATTGGAAATACAATACAGACATGCCCTGCCTAATTCATTTCCTGGCACTTTTCTACAAACTCCCTAGCAAAGAGCATCTTATGAATAGGAAATGCCAAGCATTAAATGCATTGATGACAACTGAAAATCAAAGCTCCTCACACTCACCACACCAGGCTGTCAATGATTGTTCCCTAGTCTATGGTGACTAGAGATGTCAGAAGCACTTGGGTCTGGTTCCTGGCTGGTCTCTGCTGCCTGCTGCCTAAGGCAACCCTCCTGGTTCTTTCACACGCTCAGAGGCCTCAGATGAGGGCATCAGCTCCAAGCAACTCTGTGCCCTATGACATATCCTCAGCTCAAAGCTTGGCTTTCTAGTTTTGAGATCTGACATTCACACCTCTCTAATAGAAGAAAAGGGATGGAAAACAGGATTCTTTTTCATTGTTTGTATCTCCTCTGGGACTGCTGCAGTCCCCTTCTATCCAGTTTGCATCTAGCTTGCCAGAATCATTTCCTTTATCTCTTAAAGTTTCTTTCCAGTCAGTGAGCACACCCAGTAGCCCCTCAGTCTGTGGTATTCCTGCATCATATTGCAAATCTGTTAGGGACAAGCTGTATACTAATCCTATCACAGCTGTTTCATGTCATGTCATGTCATGATACATCTATTTTTTCTATTTTTAGCATAAATTTTTAATAACAGTGACACAAGAAGACATAGCAACAAATGTATCATCTCACAATGACAAAATATTTGTTTTCCAGCTATTATAGAAACAGGAAGCCCAGTGATCCCATCTCCAACTGTGATATGATTCATATGCACGTCTTTCTTATGTAAATTGAAAACCACTTGTCTTTTGACTCAACTTACCCACTGTTCTTGGCAGATTCCCTTCCTGAACCCCTTAGTTTCAGGAGCTAAGGAGAACATTCGCTCATGGTTTATCTTGGGCTCACATTTCCTGTGCTTACCTCTACACACCCCAACATTAGCAACCTGTCAAACACAATGAGGGGTCCCATAGCTGTCATGTCTCATTGGAATAGTCCAGTGGAGTACTGAACCTCAGTGTTACATAATTGCTCCAGGGAAGCCTATTTTACCCATTTTAAGTGTTAAATACAGCTCATTCACTGGTTACCTAACACTCTAAGACTGAAGAAGGCTTCGATCAAAGCAAAGCCTAAATGTTACTGAGGCTAAGAGTATAACACCCCCCTTGGGTTATTTTTTCCAAGTAGACACTGAGTCTTACTCTCAGCATTTGTCACCTTGCACTCATAGGTACCCCAGAGCCACACATCAAATACCAGAGGCCTGGTGATGCTAGCAACTAGAATTGGGCACAACGTCTAGCTTTTGTTTAATTCCTCTGTATTATATTACCAGGTAAATATACAAAGCTCTGCAGAAGACCAGTCCAGCTGGTCTTCTTACTTACTTACCTCACTTTATCACCGTGGCTGCCTAGACAGTCAAAGAAAATGTGTAGATGCTCACTCTGAGGTTTTCCCTGCTATGAATCATTGTATGGTATTCGAATGCGCTCTCCCTGTTCTCCTGGAAGAATATCTATACAAATGTTCATGCCTGCTACAACTTGACATCCCTCCCCTGTGCTCCATATTTACTGAACTAATAAAAGAGCAGATAGATAAACGAATGAATTACTAACATGAGATAGAGGAAATGCTTGGAGAAATTTGGGGCCATGGAAGTAGGTATTGTTCCTTTTTTATTTAATGAAGATAAAATAAGGTACATATTGCAGGAGACTATTTATACATAGTCCTGGGTTTATTCAGCATGTGATTTCATGTAAGTTTTAGGTTAATCATCTCACTGGGTTCCCAATTAGTACACAATATCCCCCTTTTCCCTGTCTTCTCACCCCAAAACACATAAAAATTACAAACTATAAAACAGCACAACCAAAATTACTTTGAGATTATTAAATTCAATAGGAAAAGGTTTGAAGAAAAAATTAAAGGGAATTATAAGGCTAGAAGGAAAATTATATCTCTTCTCTGATTCGAGTTTAAAGCCAATGGAGCTATAAGTGGGTTCATTACAGAACTTTTACCCACCCCATGCCCTATGAAGCATGTTAAAGAACCACAGGGTGGTCTGGAGTGTGTGTTTTGATAGCTCGGGGCATGTATAAGTTGGTCTTTGCTATGTGATAAATCATCCCAATACCTAATGTTTTAAACAACAGCAAGTTCCTTATTAATTTATGGATCAGCTGTGCAGTTTGCTGATCTGAGCCAGACTTGCCTGATTTTGGCTGGGTTTGCTCATGCGTCTGTAGCCAACTTGAGGGGAGGGGAAAGCAGCTAAGGGCTGTCTGGTTTATGATGGCCTCAGCTGGATCAACTGGGAAGCCTGAGGATTCTCTCCATATTGCCAACCATCATGCAGCAGGCCATTCTGGACTTGTTCACATTGCAGCAGCGGGGCTCCAAGAGAGTGGAAATGTGCAAGGCTTTTTAAAAGTTTAGGCTTGGAACTGCCATTCTGACACGTCTGCCACTTTCTGTTGGCCAAAACAAGTTGTGAGAACAGTCCTAACTCAAGGCAGAAAGGAAGCAGATTCAGCATAGGTACGAGCTGCAAAGTCACATTACAGAGGGCAGAGACGAAAGGAGAAAAGAAGGTTTATGGCCACTTTTACACCAATACTTTATTATTTATTCTCTTTCCCCTTCTCCCTCCAGATAGTCCCCTTCTCTTGGCAAATAAGAGTCCAGGAAAAAAGTCAATTCAGTTACATGGATGGGAACAAAGACACAAAGGCTTGGTAGGGTGTTTCTATGTAGTTTTGTCCTGTGGTAGATCGCAAAAGTGGTCATAACCCTCCTCCTCCTGCTGCTGCTTCTCCTATGGTAGAAAAAATCAGCAGCTCAGCTGTTCTAATCTGTTCTGGTAGTGAGAAACTCTTCTTATAAGTGTCAAAGTGTATTTCAGAAACAGGATCAGCCTCCTCCTGTGACTATTTGGCAATAACTCTCATGCCGTCTAGGTGGTAGGTGATATGATGCAAGCCTAAAACAGGATTGTAAATTGCTTTCTATATGACTTTCATTATCTCATCAAGAAACTGAGGGCTTTCTGGGGATTTTTTTCTTTGAGACAGAGTCACTCTGTTGCCCAGGCTGGAGTGCAGTGGCACGGTCTTGGCTCACTGCAACCTCTGCCTCCTGCATTCAGGCGATTCTCCTGTCTCAGCCTCCTGAGTAGCTGGGATTATAGGTGCCTGCCACCACATCCAGCTAATCTTTTGTATTTTCAGTAGAGACAAGGTTTCACCATGTTGGCCAGGCTGGTCTCGAACTCCTGATCTTGTGATCCACCCACTTTAGCCTCCCTTCTTGGGATGTTTTTAAGCATCAGGCCTAACCTGTCATTCTCAACTCACATAAAAATCATCCCTATAGTAAGAAACACTTTGCTAAAACCTGTGGCTTGTATGCTTTCATTCTCCCCAAAATCAAGTAGTAAACATCAGGATGGTCCTGTGGGACTAAGGATGAGCCATGTTATGAGGTCTAAGCAGGCTGATGCTTAAAACCCAAAAAATGAATAAACAAATTTCGCTTTTATTAAAGCATCATCTTTCAAACCATAAAATGTTTCAAGGTGGGGCTGGTTTCTGAGCTCCCCTTGCAGAAAGAAAATTAAAAGCCACCTGAGGTTGTTCACCAAAAAATGTGCCATATTCCATCCTATCAGCCTTTCGGAAGATACCCCATTCCAGTTTCAGAGCAGAATCGGACTTGAACTTTTAAATGTTCATGACTCCTGTTGCCCCATGACACCTTAGCAGGTAGTCTGTCCAAGGCTCTATTACTTCATCTGTAAATGCACACCCAGCTCCATATTATTGACACAGGAAATGGCTAACAGATAAAGAACAGCAACTTGAGAGCTGCAGAATGGAAAGTAAATCTAAAATTTCTCTGTTTCCTAGGTCCAGTGTGGGACCCCATCAGCTAACTGTATGGAATACTTCCAATCTGAGTCACGACAACCGACGAAAATACAACTTTAGTGATGAGGAAGGACAAAACCAGCTGGCCATCCGGACCCACCAGGACATCCCCCTCCCTCCAAGGAGAAGAGAGCTCCCTGCCTCACTGACCACCAATGGGAAAGCAGACTCCCTAAATGTATCTCGGAACTCAGTGATGCAGGAACTCTCAGAGCTAGAGAAGCAGATTCAGGTGATTCGCCAGGAGCTGCAGCTGGCTGTGAGCAGGAAAACGGAGCTAGAAGAGTATCAAAGGACAAGTCGGACTTGTGAGTCCTAGGTGACGACACTGCTCCTCTTTCTCAGTTCCTGATCTTCCTCTAAGCCCTTGAGACACTTTGTAATGCTCTTTTCTAACTACTGACAAAGGTGTGGGGAAGCTGTGGTCTAGGTTTTCTTAGAGGTCAAGTCTGCTCTTCCTAGCCTAAAGAGCAGCAGCAGCTCCTCTCAAGCTCACTCTCTAGGTCTCCAGGGTAGAAGTGTTTTTCTATCAAGAATCTTGGTCAGGAGTAAGCTCTGTGTGAGGGATCTGTGAATAACCAGATAACTCCAGCTTCCGTTATCCTTTTTACCAGGTGCCACAGTAGTATTTCTGGTTTTTAGCCCTTTCTCTGCACTACCAACAAGAGATAAAATCGTTACTCATACTTATGTCTTACTGGGTTGTTGGCTTTCATTGTAACACAGAACAAGATTATCCAGGGTTGTGGCTTTTTATACAACTCCCCAATCTAGATTTATGTCTACAGTCTGAATGGGGGGCAGGTAAGAGCAGAGCACCTCCCACTGGGGGTAGGGTACTTAAAAGTTAACTCATTAGTATCACAAAGGTCAAGGATTGATTGGACCAGGCAAGAGCCATGTTTTTGACAAGGTTCTGGATCGCTGACTCCAACTTGACTAACATTTAGTAAGAACATGCTTACACGCCACAGTGAAAGGGGACGGGGATGTGTTAAGCGGGAACAGAAGATGGGCAGAAGAGGCATTAAAAATGCATACCACGAATTTAGAACAAAAGCTGTGGGCCAGAAAAGCAATTGGCTAAAAAATGAATAATACCACTTCTAATGTAACTAAGCATCTCCACTATGGTGTGTGCCTTTTATAAAGGAAAAGAGAGAAAAGCAAAGCAAGGTTGTGGCCTTAGGTCGGATCTGGAATATCCCTGCTTATTGCCTGTAATAGAATATGTGACACTGTGGGTGAAATGTTGTACACACCACACACTAGGCCATTTTCAGATCAGCAGTCACCCATCTCTTAGCATAGACATCCCAAAACCTCCAGCCTGGGTATACCACAAGCTTCAGCCATTCAGGAATCTGCCCTGTGCTTTGCATATCTGTATAGCAAATCATCAGGTCAATCCCCCATCCTCATACCCTCTCATCTCTGAGGAGCTGTGAACAGATTTTGCTCTAATGATCCTCCAGCCTCATCCAATGTTCCCTAAAGACTGATATAAGTAACCTCCCCTCTGCTTAGGCATCTCTGTCTCAGCATATGATGTTTAGGTAGCAAGGGACAGGAATATGGGAACTGTAGAACTTCAGTTCTCAAATGTCAATATAGATAAGAGTCGTCTAGTACAGAACTTATCAGAGCGCTGATTGCCAAGACCCTTTTCCAGAGATTATGGGGTCAGGGGTGGAAGTCTAGAGGTAGGCTCAGAAACCTACTGTTAACCAACACCCCCAGGTGACTGACATGGGTGGTCCAACAATTACTCTTCTAGAAACACCATTCTGGAAGTTTGGCTGCCCACAAGCATGAGGAGAAGCATGAAGAGAAACCCTGTTTGAAAGTTGTTGTTTTTTTTATATAACTTCAGCACACATCTGCTGATTCTCCTTCCACATCCTCACCCCCACCCCTGGGTACCATTTAGGACAAGACTTCCTTAATTACTTGCTTTATCTTCTCAGGACTCATTGTTCCACCCCCCAATCAATTTGAATGCCTACAGTGAGTTCAGGAGCTGTGCCAAGCACTTTCCTCTTTTACAGCTGCAGATCATTGGAAAGGTGGCTCAATCACAAAACTTCTCCCCCTACTATTGGATGAAATGTCTGCATTTCCACCAAAAGCTACCCAGTCCCCCAGGGAAAGGTAACAACTTAAGCTGTAGTTAGGTAACACCTAGTGATTCATTGGCTGAGAAAACCCGGGAGTGGAGGTACACTCAAACATCCTGATATGGATGTGGGAGGGCTCTAAAGTCAGAGGTCACCAGCCCCACAGATGAAACAGTTCAATGAGGAAACAGGTGAGCCCTGAAAACAGAAAAGGACAATTCTGTGTTGAAATACCCCATCCCCTCACATTCTCACCCCAGGCCCAGAGGTAGGTTTGCAGCCGTCTTTGGAAGATTTTGCCCCTCAGCCATCCCTACCCACTTGCAACACTAAGGATGCTGGAGACTCTGCCACTATGCTGTGTGTGCCCCTGAACCTCTGTGCAGCCCAGAAGGCTGATGTACAGGTGTACCTCAGTTCACATTATAGCCATGCTCCTACTGTACATGGACATTTTTGTAACTCAGCTCATATTCTGACTGTATTTGAGAAGCTGGCTATTTAAGGGAACCCAGAGGTGAATCCTTTTGTAAAGTAAAGCACCCTTTTGTAATGCAGTTAATTATCCCTTAATGTATCTGTTTTGTAAATCTGAATTTTTGTATATCGGGTTTACCTTAAGCTTCTCTACTGAGGCATTCTGAGCAGTGGTGGATCACATGCCAGATCGCCCCGCCTGTCCACAAAGTATTTGACCAATGCAGGCTCCTCAAACATCTTTGGAGGAACTAGCTGGCCAAAACACCGGCCAGGATGCAGCAAGCAGCAGCAGGGGCTGAAGGCAGGCTTACTGCCGTCAACATTGCTTGAAATGCCTCTATGATCTGAATGAAAAAAACATAATTGCTTGTGGTGAAACGAAGCAGTCTTCATGTTAAGTAGCAATGGTTATTTTTATCAGTAGTAATTGAACAGTGTTTTGCAATTTGTGAAACAGTGTATTGTGTTTTGTAAAATGATGTCATGAAATGGTGGGTCCTTGGAAACCTCTTTTCTGTTCAGCTCCACCTCTTGTTCTTTCAACTCCTTTCAGGCTCAAAAAAAAAAAAAAAAAAAAAAACCACACACACACACACACACACACACACAAAGATCAGAAGCCTTCAGATGGAGGGTGGTATTCTGGTAAAGAAGAGATAAGAGATGCTACCTTGCTGCTTCTCCTCGGCTCCCATTTCATGAGATCAAGAAGACTTCCATTCTCTACCAAGCTCTGGTGCTGGGAAACCTTGAATATGACACATTGTACCACATACCCCAACCCTGTTTTCCAAGGGGAATTTCTGGCACAGGAAGCACATAGTAAAGCATGCTCAGGTGAGCTGGAACAGACACAGCTACCTGGTTCATGTAAATAAGAATAATAAAGGCCCCAGAGTATATATGCTTCCAGGTAGAGGAGAAAGGGGAATCCCCCAAAACTTAAAAACAAGTTGGAAGAATAACCAGGACAACCAAGTGAGGCAGCCACAGGGACCCAAGCAGTCGAGGTCTTTAATGTGCCTGGAGATGACTCTCCATCATTCATGAATCTTGCTATTGCACAAACCCTATCAGGAGCTGCAGCTTCCCTTCCAGCCAGAGAAGTGGTAAGTGGAGCAAGTGCCGAGCAGAACAGACCTTATCATCTGGGTAACAGACTGAGAAGTGTTGGTGCTGTGTCTGTTAGGGCCTTGGAGCAAATTAAGCACTTCCTTGGTGTGGGTAACGAATAAAGGGGAAAGCAACTACTTTAGATCCTCTTTTTCTCCCAACTCATTTTTGATAGGAAAACCAGAAAATCCAACCATTTCTTCAGAAATTGCTTTCTAGTCATTAACACTACTTTACTATCTATACTGTTAAGTTATTCTTTTCTTTACCCACCTACACTACCTATCTATTCCAGGATTCCCTCACTCTTTTTTTAGTTTAGTTACTAATCATTTTATGAAAATAGTGTACTTACAAGTATTTTCTTAAGGTTTGTGAAGAGTATTTGCATTGTGTCTTCATTTTAATGTGTTTGCAATCGCTCCGCTCCAGGAAGAACGGAAATGCCGTCTTGTGAGCATGAAGTGAACAGGCTGTTTTGCTCCAGCCACTTTTCTTGTACAACCACACGGATGGATTAGATATCCTCAGGTCTTTTCCATCTTCAGTTTCTATGAGTATGGAATAAATGTTCAGAAACTTCACTTTTGGATGTACTGCTGGCTTTGTCTTTGGGGATTTGAATGTTGACATGATACCAGTTCCTTCATAACAGGAGACCCAATAATGCTATGATTTATGCTTGTTTCCTTGCTATAGTCCAAATAAATAACAAAAGATATGCTGAGAAACCTCAGAGCTCAGGCACCAGGAAGTAGAACTGAAATGGCTTCGTATGAGAGACATTCTAGGAAAAAGCACAAGTTCAGAGATCTCTAAAAGCCTGTCCTGATCACCCTCATTAGTAATTCAACAAACATTTGCTAAACAGCTTCCATGCACATGTCAACTGCTAAAGACACAATAGTGACGAAGATAGGTATGGGCCCTATTGAGATCCTCTCAATCTGACCTTTTTACAACCTATAGACAGGTAATACTATGATAACTAACAGGTACTGGGTACTTATTATAAACCATGATCTCATTTAATCTTAACCCCACAAGATAGGCACTATAGATATAGTCTTAAGTAGGTAAATGAGACCTTCAGTTTACAGATTAAAAAAAAAACAAGAATCAGAGAAATTACGTAACTTGCCTAACGTTACAGAACTAATAATAGTAACAAAGAATAGTACAACCATACAGGCTTCTGGTCACTGCCTCACAATTTTCTGTTCTTCCTTGAATTCCCTTTTAGTCTGTCTGCCTTACTGATTCTTGCCCATGCCTCAGCCTGGCCCCTAGCTCTACGGAACAGAGGGAAGCTGATATTATAACTACACCTTCATTGATCCATTTAACTCAACACTGCAATACCTAAGTCTCACAAAAATAGCATTTCAATATCTTTTCTTTCTGTTTTCTGGCCCAACCAAGAACTGATGCAAACACAGTCACAAATCACTCAGCAGCCCTGCAGTCCCAGATATATTGGCAGTTTCTGATAATCCAAGCAGTTTTAGCTGCTGGCAAATTTGCCTTCACAAATCTGCTAGGCTGTTGCCTTCCTCACATACATTCTTTCAGAATAGAAACAATCAAATCTCATGAAAATGTAAACCCACTATAACATAATTCAACTACCAACTTACCTAAGGATGTTTTTGCATTACCCAATCATTCATTTTTTGGATGCCTATTTGTACCCAGGCATTGGGGCTAATTGCTGGAAACAGACAGATAAAAAGAGCAGATTCTGATCCCATAGAGCTCAGTGTAATGAAAGGACACACTGACAACATAGTATGGTGTGTACTCTGATAAATGCACACTGGGTGCTACCGGAGCAATGAAGATACCGTGTGTGTGTGCATGTGGGTGTAGGTTTGTGAGGTCGAGAGACTGGGTGGAGGGTAACAGGCAACTAAAGTAGGTAAAAGAAAGCATGTACAAAATTCCAGATGTGGGAAACCATGGCAATCAAGAAACTGGGACCTTCAAATCGTTTAATACAACAGAAACATAAAGCTCAAGGTGGAAGACAAACTATATGAACTGAAGAGAAAAGCAGAGGCAAGATCACCTGTGCTAAATGGGATTTGTGTCCTGAACACTACAGGAACCACTAAAGGATTTTAAGCGGGAGAGAGAACTACCAAAAGAACAGGATCCTCACCACTAGGTGGAGCTGGATATCACTCACATGCATTTTATTTGTAGGACAGTGAGCAGATAAAAGTTAACTTTTTGAAGTTTTGGAATGAGTTGACCATGACATCATTTACCAGTACAGCCAGACTAGAGACAGACAGACATGGATAAACATGTGACTTCAATTTCATGGAGGATGTCAGTGTTTTTCTTTTTTCTTTTTTTCCTAGAAATATGAAGAAAATGTAGGTGGAAAGTAAAGCTGATCTATCAACTTCTTTATTTTCTCAACAATAATAAAAGTTAGTATTTGCTGAGCATTTTCTAGGTGCCAGGCACTGTGCTGAATGTCTCCTGTATATTGATTCGTTTCATTCTCAATACAACCCTATGATGTAGTTATAATTTTATTAAGAAACTGAAGCAGAGACATGAAGTAACTTGCCAATAAGTAGCTGTGCCATACCCAGGCAAGTCTGGCTTCATGAGAAATATATTTAACACAATGCCTGGAATCACATTAAGCACTCAACAAATGCATATGATTGGGAGAGCAGGAAGAAATCTAAGATGCCTTGATTCAATTCCCCACTACAACAAAGGTGCTAAAGGAACTCAGTGAATTCAAAAACAAAATCGGTTCTAATCCAGGGCCAGGCAGAGTCTATTTAGATTAGAGTTATCAAGGATAAGTATAGTAGGTATCTATAAGTCTTCAGAAAAAGACTTCACAATGACTCAGAAAGTATTTTCACTTATTATCTAGCTGACAACAACTACTCTATTAATACAGGTCTCCAATTAGGATAAAGGAACAATGGCCTGGTAGTAGCATTTCAGTCCTGTGGCTAAACTGAGTGGCCCTGGAACCTATTTCCTCACCTTTAGAATAAGGACATGGTCTGAGGTCCCTTTCAGCTCTCATATCCTCAGAGCACATTATTATATTAATGTGAATATACCTTCCCCCGGCAGGGGGGGAGGGGGGTACCTACAGTAAGTGAGGCCTCTACGCTGGTTTCTATAGTGTAGTGGTTAACACGTTTGCCTTACAGTAAGTGAAGCCTCAGCTATCATGAGCCGCCAATACAGCAGTGTTAGTTTTAGAATTCATAATAATTCCTTCTATTACCACAAAAGAAATGAAAACGTAGTCATATATTTTTGAGTAATAAAAATTTGAAGGGTTACTTTAACATAAGGGAAAGAATGTTTCTACTTAGAGGGTGAAAAAAAAAGCGTAATAAGGTTTGAATCACATATTGACCCAGTAACGCAGACTTCTGAAGATTTGGTGGCAGAAGCATGAAGCAGAATTAACGTAATCATGAAAACTTTTACTGAATACTATGTGCCTCTGCTAGATATTAGGGATTAGACTGTTAGGATGTTGTCCTTTCCATGTGCTTTAGTAATTGTGAAGTAGGCTATAAATAAGACCTTAATAGCTAACATTTGGAACAGACCAAACATGGGCAGAAATCCCAGAAGGTAAAGCTCATTCTTTCTGATGGGACAATTTTTAAATATTTCCAAACCTTAATATCTAAAAAAATTTTAAGTATTTCTATGCCAGGGCTTTCCTATTGTACAAACTCAATCCAACCTACATATAATCCACCATTTTTCTACTAATCTCAGTGTTTCTGTCTTATCGTAAGTCAGTCAAGCAGACTTCTGCAATAATGACTAATCAAAACTTTTCTGCAGATCCACTGGGACTTGGGTTTATCTGGCAGTCCTCAAATAAATCCTTAAAGAACAAAATGTAAAGGCATTCTACACACTAGCAAATGACAATGGAAATAAAGATAAGAGCAGCAAATGCTTCCTGCAAGAATAAGCATCACCATCCCAGTAGCTTTAGAAGACTGATGATCATTTATTATCTAGAATCTTCACAAAATCAAATCACACTCATCACTCCAATGGCATGCACATTAAACTATGTGCATTGAATTCCGGCCCTCGAAGAACAAAGATGCCTACGGATCGGAACAGAAAATGGAAAAGGAATCGCAATGGAAAGTCATGTAAGAATACAATTGCAGGCTACACGCCGCCCGACCGCTAGGAGCCACCCTCAACGAGCGTGCCCGAACGCCGCGACTGGCGCCGCCTCATCGCCTCCCGCCATCACTGACCAGCCGTTTCACCCGCAGCCATGGTTGAAGCGGATCGCCCAGGCAAGCTGTTTATTGGGGGCCTCAACCTCGAAACCGACGAGAAAGCCCTCGAGGCTGAGTTTGGCAAGTATGGCCGCATCGTCGAGGTGCTCCTGATGAAAGACCGAGAAACCAACAAGTCGAGGGGCTTCGCGTTCGTCACCTTCGAAAGCCCCGCAGACGCCAAGGCCGCCGCCAGAGACATGAACGGCAAGTCCCTGGATGGTAAGGCCATCAAGGTGGCCCAGGCCACCAAGCCGGCATTCGAGAGCAGCCGGCGGGGCCCGCCGCCCCCTCGCAGCCGCGGTCGCCCGACGTTCCTGCGCGGGACCCATGGGGGTGGCGGCGGCCCACGGGGACCCCCCTCCCGGGGCGGGCCCGATGACGACGGTGACTACCCGGGGGATTTCGACCTGCGGCCCTCCAGGGCCCCGATGCCCATGAAGCGCGGGCCACCGCCGACCCCGCGCAGGGCCGGCCCACCGCCCAAGAGGGCCGCGCCTTCGGGCCTGGCTCGCAGCGGCGGCGGTGGAATGCGCGGGAGGGCCCCGGCCGCGCGGGGTCGAGACGGCTACTCAGGCCCGCCGCCCCGGGAACCGCCGCCCGCGCGCCGCGCCCCCTACCTGGGCCCGCGAGAGGAGGGCTACTCCTCCAGAGACGGCTACTCGAGCCGAGACTACCGTGACCCCCGGGGTTTTGCCCGCTCGCCCCGAGAGTACAGCCACCGCAATTACGGCCACTCCAGTGTGCGGGACGACTGTCCCTTGAGAGGCTACGGCGACCGAGACGGCTTCGGGGGTCGCGACCGTGACTACGGGGATCATCTGAGCGGAGGCTCCTACCGAGAGCCCTTCAAGAGCTACGGAGACCGGCGCGGTGCCGCCCCGGGGCGGGGGACCCCGCCATCTTACGGTGGAGGAGGCCGCTACGACGAGTACCGGGGCTGCTCGCCCGACGCCTACAGCGGCGGCCGCGACGGTTACAGCAGCAGTTACAGCCGGAACGACCGCTACTCGTGGGGCCGAGACCGGGTGGGCAGACCAGATCGTGGGCTCCCTCTGTCCATGGAAAGGGGCTGCCCTCCCCAGCGTGATTCTTACAGCCGGTCGAGCCGCAGGGTGCCCAGGGGCGGAGGCCGTCTAGGAGGCCGCTTGGAGAGAGAGGGAGGCCGGAGCAGATACTAAGCAGGAACAGACTTGGAACCACAAGTCCCTTTTCAAAGAAACTAACAAAAAGAAGAAACTGTTATGATAACTACCCAAGGACTAGTAACTATCCAGGGAAGAGTTGTTTTTACGTTTTAAAATTTTCCTGTTAAAATCTTCTCCATTTTTATGCTTTTCGGAGAAAAATCTTAAAATTCATTTAGTTTTGGAGTTGTTAACGTTTCTTTAAACAAGCTCATATTAAAAGTCTAAAAAAAAAAAAAAAAAAAAAAAGAATACAATTGCAGAAACAGCTCAATACATTTGAAACAGATCCGTATAGTAACTAAGAAGGTAACAGCCGAGCCATGTAGTTAAGATGTACGCCTTAGAGCACACCTGATTTTGGTCAACATCGCTAAGAAATTTCCAAGGTAACAAAGAAAGAGAGAGACTATCCCTACAAAATCTGAAATGGTTATTTGTTTATGAGACAGGGTCTCACTGCGTCACCCAGGCTGTAGTGCAGTGGCACGATCAAAGCTCACAGCAGCCTTAACCTCCGGTGCTCAACCTATCCTCTCGCTGCAGTCTCCCAAGTAGCCAGGACTACAGGTATGCACCACCACAGCCCGTTAATTTTTGAAATTTTTTGTAGAAATGGGGTCTCCCTATGTTGCCCAGGCTGGTCTCAAGCTCCTGGGCTCAAGCGATCCTCGTGTCTCAGCCTCCCAAAGTGCTAGGATTACAGACATGAGCCACCGCACCCAGCCTGAAGTGTTTTTAAGAAATGAGAACCTCTAGGACTTCTACAATAATCTTTGAAATTGGCATTTATAAGCATTACCTTAAAGAAATTACCCTTTAAAGTTGGTATAGATAAAGAGCTGTAACTGCTAACTAGGATCTGAAAAAAACCATGAATAATGCACATACAATACAAATAAAATTTGATATGCAGTTTGGGAATATTCCTGAAGCTTATTCACTGACCTCTTCTGTAGTGAGAGAAGCCAGCTGCCGAAAAATCACCATCATTTTGGGTTATTATCTGAAAATGACTTTGAGAGCTCACCTTGTGTTGCCGGGACCTCAAGCCAGCTGGGAAGGGGCTCCCTGCTCATCTCAACTAGAGGAACTTCCTCTAAATCCAGCTTCCCATAGGACTAGAGGTTTCCTCTACAACATTACACAGGCCCTATGGTCCCCTGGTGCTGGGCAGCTGGCTTTCCCAGCCAATTGTCACAAACAGCCAAGCCCAACCCACCTGTTGACCAAGTAGCCTATCTGCCCCCAGCCAACACAGCTATGCTAAGGCTTACCCTATAAGAAGAGCAAGAAGCAAGGAGAAAGTGTCCTGTTACTAAATGAAAACTCACTGTGTCCAGAAGCAGGAGCTAATCCCATCATGATGATTCCGTGGGGGTGAGGGTTTTTCTTGGCAGGGGGATCAAGGGACCCATGACCTCTCTTGATGACCTGGTAAGATTCTTCAATTGGACTCATTGCTTAATCCCTACCACATGACTTTGTGGAATTCATTGCAAATCCTGCTGATTATAGCTGGTGACCACAAAAGGACACAGAATTTGCTCTTACCCATCTTCTAGGACAGGTGGTGATCAAGAAGGATCCACTTTACACAACCCCTTGCCAGAGATTTATAAAACCTCTGGTTTGCTGGTTACTATAAAACATAATGCATTTGGGCATGGTAGCTCACACCTGTAATGCCAACACTTTGGGAGGCGGAGGCAGGCAGATCACCTGAGGTCAGAAGTTTGAGACCAGCCTGGCCAATATGATGAAACCCCATCTCTGCTAAAAATACAAAAATTAGCCAGGCATGGTGGTGGGCACCTGTAATCCAGCTATTCAGGCAGCTGAGGCAGGAGAATTGCTTGAACCCAGGAGGCAGAGGTTGCAGTGAGCCAAGATTGTGCCACTGCCCTCTAACCTAGGCAACAAGAGCAAAACTCCATCTCAAAAAAAAAAAAAAAAAACCACACACATAATGCAAGAACTTTCACCCTGAAGCTAGAAGCAGCACTATGCTCCCCAAAAAACAAAAACAAATTATAGTCTCTTACCCTGCATAGTGAACTACAAAAGATAACTGAGTAGTCAAATAAATTAATCTTTTAGACATAATTTCTCCATAGAAGAGACTCAATAAAAGAACCAGGAAAAAAGTGCTTCAATTAATCAAAGATCTAAATACTCTAAACAAGGCCAACCTCTTAATCTAAGCTGATTATTTCCATGCAAGAGAGTTCAATTCTAGAACTGCAGGTATAAAATCATCTCATAATAACAAAGACAAAAGTTTCAAAGAAAAACCGTAAAAACAAAATGCAAACTGAATCCTGCTTTAATTCAAACTTGTGGAGTATAAAGTCCTACAGAAACATTACACACAGAATTTTCTGGGATCACAACAACCCCTATAAAAAGGAGATGAGTAATTCATAGCTTACCAAGTTCTCTCTGTATCAAATTCCCAGAATACCCAGAAGATTTCTTCACCAGCTCAGTCCTGTTCCCCCACCCTCTTCAATCTTTATTTCATCAGAAGACAAAGGGTGATATTATTTAAAATTATTCCGGCCTCAAGAAATTTAAAGACTTGAAGTAGCAGAGCATTCAAAACTTAAATAACTCTAACAAGAAAGCTAGCTGATCTTACAAGTTACTCTGCTAGTAAATGGGAAATGAATCATCCTGGACATAATTTCATTAGGGCTGCAAACCACCCAGGGAAGAGGAGCACAATTACACCATTTTGTAATCCACATTCACAAAAAGTTTGCTACACAAATGAAGAAAACTTTATGTCCCAGACAACTTATTTTTAAAAATATCACTCCCCAAAAATAGCCATGTCTCCACGTTTGTTCCCTTTTTCATACCAAAAATACCGACTTGATTAACTCAGGAGGAATAGACAATCCAAGATTATACAGTGGGCTGGAAAAAGAAAGCAGGAAATAAACAAAGCTGGGAGGGAAGACAGAGTTGTTTGTTTCTAATTCATTTGAAACCCAAGGCTTGTATTTACCAGTCCTTTCTGCTAACATCACCCAGCTGTTGAAGAGAGCCTGGAAGCAGTCTGTAGAGGAAAGGCAGTTGACTGATAAAACTGTCCTACAAGTGACAGTCAAGAAGAAAAGAGGTAGACGTTTGGTGGTTAATGAGTAAGTGCCTGTCTAGCCAGCTCCTCTTCTTCTCTTGACTTGGATCAACCAATATAGATGCGATGAAAATCATTGGCACCAAAAGCAGCATTACACTTGGGACATTTGCGCTGGCGGGTGTCATAGCGTGTCTTCACACACTCAAAGCAGAAGACGTGAAAACACTTAGTAAGAACAGCATCCTTTTTACGCATGTTACAGCACGGACAAGTCAGGCGTGCCTAGAAGGAAAAGATGTCAGAGTCTGAGCAACCTTGAAAGTTTACGATTCAAATGGCTCTCATATAGTACACAACCAACAAGAATACCCACAAGGCACTAAAAAAGAGCATCACCACCCCCCCCAAAATAAACCATTCTCTGGTTACCATCATGTAAAGTTCAGTGTTTATTCTTCCAGTCTATTAAGCCTCTTAAAGCCTTGCTAAAAAGCAAATCACCGAGGCATTTTTTTCTAACCTTGTAATCCTTAATCTCTTCCATCAGAATCTCATCACACTTGGGTACATTGTCTGGTTTCTTTGTGGTCTCCAGCTTCCTGCGAAGTCTAGAGATGTCCTCCTGCGGTAGGACAGCATACCCATTAGACACACTTACCCAAATTTGCCATTTTTGAGAAAAATAGTAGTTCTAACTTGAGTTTTCTATTGTGGAAAGAAAGAACTTTCTGGCTTTTCATGTCCAATTATCTTGTAGAAATGTGAAGAATTGCAAATGGCAAGATATTTTCTTGTTTCACAACAGGCAATCATAATCATATCCTCAAATTAGAGATGCATCTAACTATTACCAATTCAGTCCTGCAAGCACACATCTAAGAGTTTAGAGGATACCCCACTTTGTTTTATGGTAACTAGTTTTAAGCTGAAGGTAGACTGGTTTAAAATAATTGAGATTTATGGATAAGGACCGAAAGACATCATGAGAAACGGCTGGCCTGACAAAAATAGAGAACTTATAGGAGATCTTTAAAATACTCTACTGCTGCTATGCTGCTACTTCTTTAACAATTTACCAATTCATTAATTTAACAACTATTTATTTTGTGCCTTCTAGGTGCAAGGCACCATAACAGGGTCTGGGGATATGGCAGTGAAGAAAACAGACTTACTCTCTTCCCTCAACAAACTCCCTCAAGTCTAGAAGGAAATGACATATACTGGACTAATGATTCTTTCATATGGGTCACTTGGGACCTCAGAAAACATCTAAAAGGTGACAAGAAAAGACAACTGCCTTACCTGGGCTCGTTTGAAATTGAACATGTCCTTTTCTTTGGTAACACTGTTCTCCACAATCTCATCTTGAAAATCATGTAGCTTCTTCTGAGCCAACTCTAGTTGTGCTTTGAGGTCATCTGCAAGCTGGGCTGCCTCCATTGCCTATGTGGGATATACAATTAAGTAACACCATTGTATCACATCTTATTCCCAGTGAGGCAAAATGTTAGCCCAAGTTGAAGGAATAAAGTGAACTTATAATTTCAACAGTGTTATCCTTATTTGTTCCTCTAAGACTAACCATCATTTGATTAATCAATCATACCTTGCGTTTATTCATCTCTAAGGCTTGGGTCCTAAGACCCAGCTCTTTCTCCCCTGTGCCAATGTTGTTCTGTAACAGATGCTCCTTCTCTTCCAGTTTCCTTACTACCTGTAGCTGGGCATCAACCTTTGAACAGAAAATCAGATTTTAACACACACACACACCCAAAAAAAAAAAAAAAACTATTCTGCTAATCTATAAACCCACAAAATACGATATGTTAGAAATCTCAGACTATTACTGATTTTGCCCATGAACCCTTCAAAATACATCAAGACTATGATAACTGGAAGGTATACTTTTAATATGAAATATTGTGGAAGATTCAAATAAGAGTCTGAAAAATGACTGAAAAGATTCTTTTCCAAATTGCCAAAAATAGAGAATATCACATGCTAATGCTCAAAACCTGGCAACTCATACTATAACATATAAATTAGAACTCAAAAGTTGAAGAGCACTTCAGAATGGCTAGACATCCTAAAGGAGTCTTTTTTTGAAATTAATGCACAAAGTAGACTCAAACAATATTAAAGTGTAAAAAGTAAAATCACACACACCCACCTCCTAACCTCACCCACAAATCATCTCAATATGTGAAGGTAACCATTCTAACAGTTTCTCATGCCATCTTCAAAAAGCATATCAGAAAGATAATCCACCATGATCAAGTGGGTCTCATACCAGGGATGCAGTGGGGTGGTTTGATATCCCCAAGTCAATAAATGTGATACACCACATAAACATAATTTAAAATCAAACGATCATCTCAATAGACGCAGAAAAAGTATTTGACAAAATCCAGCATCCTTTTATGATTAAAACCCTCAGGAAAATTGGCATGGAAGGGACATACCTTAAGATAATAAAAGCCAGCTATGACAATCCCACAGCCAACATTATACTGAACACAGAAAAGTTGAAAGCATTCCCCCTGAGAACTGGAACAAGACACAGATGCCATTCTCACCACTTCCATTCAACACAGTACTGAAAGTCCTACCAGAGCAATCAGACAAGAGAAAGAAATAAAAGGCATCCAAATTGGTAATGAGGAAGTCAAACTGTCACTGTTTGCTGATCACATGATCATATACCTAGAAAACTCTAAAGACTCTAAAGAACTGGTAAATGAATTCAGCAAAGCTTCAGTATACAAAATTAATGTACACAAATCA